TCCTCTTTGTCCCTAGAGTGAAACAGCACAATGAAAACCAAGTTCTGCCCAGTACTTTGCTTATTAGCTAAGACATTTGATAATCAAAAGTTACCGGTTCTCCTTTGGGTCCACTTATTCCTGGGTGTCCTCTTTCACCTTTGTGACCTTTGGGACCTTGCAATCCTGGGATCCCCATCAATCCTGGTGGTCCAGTGAAGCCCTGTGCTCCAAGGAGTCCTGGCTGGCCCTGGTAAGAACAATAAAACAGCATTTATTTAGGAGCAGTTGTGATGCATGAGGCTGGATTAGTTATCACTGCTGCAACGGAGTCAATCTCCAGGAGAGAAAACAAACACAGACTCTCTTTCCATTCCTGTAGGCCAAGACTCATTGTGGATGTCATCTGGGAGCACCACATGATGGAACTCCAGCAGCAGCGACCACACTGTGCCTGACAAAATGAACATGTGGATATTAGCACTTCAATCAGTGTTCACTACTTGAACATTCATGGTTACTCCATGCAAAAAGTGTTTGCTTTGGAATGAGGCTTTCCAGCAGGTGTGCTACAGAATAACCAATTACACTCTAGTCAAGCCAAATATGCTCAATGGTGAAATCTGCTTAGTGGTTGTACCTTTTACAAGAGGAGACTGATATTTGATGGCAGGAATTGCTGCCTCTTTAGGGCTGATACTTCTGCTCAGCAGTGGAGCCTGGAAATGAAGAGACCTGCACACACCCACACAGGTTGGGGAGCTGCACACACGATTCTCCTTCCACTGTCCCTTCCAGTGCTGCTTTGGCTCTTCAGGCCACTGCAAGCATTGTGCAAAAATAATCCCTGTGGGCTGCCAACATCACAAGGCTCAAGAGGGGAAAAAACAGTTTTGAAGTGACACAATGGTGGGTTAAGTAATGGGCTGTGACAGTGTGTCTGCGATCCCTGAACCGAAGCGCTGGAATGCCACTCCATCCACAGCCTCACTGCAGGCACGTGTTCCACAGTAGTCATTGCCTCACTCACTAGGAGTGAGCTGCTGCAATCTTCTCGGGAGAAATGCACAAAGCACCATTTACTGAGATGTCCTAATTAGGCCCAATCTAATGAATTTTCCTTTAAAAGGCAACGAGATTTTTGTTCTCAGACTAGGCTGCAACAGCATCAGCAGCTCACATAAGAGGAACTACAGCAACACATGGACAAACACATATATACTTATCATAGAATCATAGAATTTAAGGGTTGGAATGGGCCTTACAGATCATCCAGTCCCAACCCCTGCCCTGAGCAGGGACACCTCCTCACTAGATCAGGTTGCTCAAGGCTCATCCAGCCTGGCCTTGAATACTGCCAGGGTTGGGGCAGCCACAGCCTCCCTGGACAACCTGTTGCAAATGCTGGTCATGCTCAGCAGTGTGGAACCCAGGCCTGGCTCTCTGCAGGGACATGAAGAGCTGCACACTGCAAAGGTGGCATTCCATGGACATGGTTCCCTGTCTAACTTCAGACACCACTCTTATACTTCAGTCCCATTTTCTGGAGTGGAGAAAGAAGTAAAGAAGGGATGGAAGACAAAGAAGAGGGCTGGGCACCAATTCCCCTTCCCAGGCTTTTCTGGTGATTATCTCATCATCTGTTTGTTGAGGAATAAAGGTTATTTAATATTGCTTGCAATAAAGACAAGAGAATTGATCCCCACAGGACTAGTTCAGTATAAGCCCGAGTTGGGGAAGTCCTTAATATCATGACACTGTTTGTGTACTTCCTCGGCCAATTAGTAGCTTGGCTTGTTAACTGAATTAGCTTTGTTAACCTTCATTAACTCAGGCTTGGAAGTTTTTACTCTGTTTTCTTTGTGTTAGGTCTTTTGTGGAACAACTCTGTCCCCTTTTCATTAGCAAGTGACCTAAGGACATTCTCTCTTTGGCAAAGGTCACTGATGAGATTTAAGCAGAGACAATCAGTTTGAAAGGTTCAGTCAAACAAAGCATGACTCAATTACTAGAGCCCCGAATGCCCCTGTGTGACACATGCCATGCATGGCACTACTCTGTGCTCCTGGAGGGTCAGAAACCCGAGGGAATTCTCTAAAGCTGTAAACTGTGTCCACATCAGATTTCAAGTCTTAAAAAATAAAAAGCAAGCCTAGGGAAACAGACTATCCTGTCATGTTTTAGATAGCTCATAAAGTCCTTTCGCTGTTGCTCCCTTTCCTTAAGTGCCAAAGCAATGCAGGAACATGCTCTGCCCATGGTGCTCTCCAGCAGAAAGCTTCCTATTTTGCTGGGGTGAACCGGATCTCTTCCTGAACCCAGAGCATGGCACGATTATTCCATGTCAATCCCTGCTGGATTTACAGGCCAGCGCTAAAACGCTCACTGAAGTGTGGGTGGAATTGCTCTGGAAGTGTTTAAGAGGCACCTGGATGTGGCACTGGAGGATCTGGTTTAGGGTTTAGGGGTTCCAGCAGTGACAGGTTAATGGTAGGACTCAATGATCTTAGATGTCTCCTCCAACCTTGGTGGTTCTAGGATTCCATGAAGGTTGTGGCCAGCATAGTGTGCAAAAGGAAAAGGCAAAAGTGACCTGATGGAGTATCTTGAACATTAACAAGGTGTATTCTCTTTGTTCTTAGTCAAAACTTCCATACCTGTTCAGTGGAATTCCAAAGCTCCCAGTGTCAGGGGACACACCTGAACAAGCAGTCCCTGCTTTGCTCTTCCCACCACTTCAGCTGCCTGGAAGAGGTCTCACACAATCCGTGTGGCCTTGCCCAGCCATTGTGCAAAAGCTATTTACAGAGAGGAGCAAAGGTCGGAAATGAGGAAGCCTGGAGGAAATCTTCCCAGAAAATATTTGCCATGTGCTGTATACACTGTCACTGGTCCAGTGATGTGCATGAAAGAAAATGCTGCCAGGGTTATGGCTGAATTTCATACCTACATTTTGCAATTCAATACCAGTGGACTTCAGGAAATCCTCATCAGACTTTGAAATTTGTACTGAATGTTCATGTTTTGCAGCTTGAACTTTAATTTCCAGTTGTTTTGCCATCAGTCGGACGAAAGAGATGTCATGTTGCAATACTTTCTTCCTTCTAATTTACTGTTAAATTTACAGTGTGGAAACAAAAGTGGTGGAGAAGGATGAGCTAATTGTGACAGCAAAAACTGTGTGATGTGCTATGCAAATAAAGCTGCAATAAATGACAGTACCTGCTCCAAAGGTTTTAAAACACAGGAACATCATCAGGAACTGCTGAGAAATCCACCTACCAGTGTGGAGATACAATGATAGGAGAAAATTGCTGACTTGTAATAAAGAGGAGACAGAATGAGAGTTTCGGCAGACCTTCATGGAATCATAGACTCTCAGAATCTTAGGGGTCGGAGTGGAGCTTACAGATCATCCAGTCCCAACCCCCTGCCCTGGGCAGGGACACCTTCTCACTAGATCAGGTTGCTCAAGGCTCATCCAGCCTGGATTGAACA